AAAAAAGACATTTAAATATTTGTCTATTTAGCTATTTTAATATCTAAATGGTAAATGGACTGAACTTATATCTGTATGTTGACCCTGGTTTTCTGCAGGCACAGAGAACAGTTCTGGAGGCAGATGACTTGGATAGCGAGGCCCAGCAAAGCACCAGGATCGTACCTGAAGAAGAGAAAGTCAACCCCATCTATGAGGAGATCTTAAAGAACCTCAAGGAAGCCACCGGAGTCTCAGATTTACAGGTATAAATGTAAAAAACAAAAAAAAACAACAACAACAAAAAAACAGATTCATGCACGCTATTCTTTTAATCTTCCATGTCATCCACGCAGGACGTTGTGGAGCATTTTACCTCAGAGAAGGAGAATTGTGAACGTTTAGAGAATCTGAAGAAACAGAATGAAGAGGCCCTGGAGAAGCTGAAGGAGGAGAAGGAGCTGCTTAGGCAACAGTTTGATAAAATGAAATACTCTGGGGAGGCTAAGCTGTCCAGGTGCAACCGATTCACAAGAGATCCTTCACCTCGTTTATGTTTCTCCTCATTTAAACGACCTGTGCTTGAAAGAGTTTTGTTAAGTGGTTCTTGGTTTTTTCTTTTTATTAGTGAGATAAAGAAGTTGGAGGAGTGTGAGCAGCAGCTGCAGGTTCAGCTACAGAGACGTGACGCAGACGCAGAGCGCCTTGCCAACAACGTGAAGGCCCTCGGCGCCATCCGAGCCGGAGTGGAGCATCTGGCAGGGAAACTGCAGGACATCTCTCTTGTAAATCTCAGATGCCACTCGACTTTTACGTCAACCTTTCGGCTAACGGTGCAGTTAATTTTTGTTCTGATTTTTTGCCTCTTCCAGACGGAGGTCAAACCTTTCAAATCCTCCCCAACTTCAGACGAGTTTGTGCTGGAGCTTTTGAACCAGTGTGGCGCAAAACTGTGGGTCTTACTAGAGGAACTTGAAGGGAAGGACATGGCCTCTGTCATGAAGGAGATAGAAGAAGATGAGGTAAGTGTATGACTACATCACAGAAATAGTCGGCACTTGGGAAACCACTTTTCCTTGTACGAAAATAAACCTGCCTGGCAGTTCCTGAGACTGTTTAAGACAAATCTGTCTGGGAGGAAAATCAGATAAGGCGATGACAAAATTTGATTAGAGCTGCTGATGATGACGCACCGTTGAATCACTCAGGTCTGACTGGTTAGTTTGCCTAAGCTTCCAATTCAGGGACCAGGTTTCGTGTCAAGATTCATAAAACTAGCAGGTTTTTAGTTATTAACGTTAACGCCGTCACAAGGAAAGCTCCACATGCGGCTCTTTTCTGAAGTATTCCTAAGTATCTGTGCCTAAGTTACAAGCTTGTGGTTCCAGAACAGCTTTGTTGTTTTATTCGGTTATAATCAACACGATATCCACAACAAGATCGACACTGGTCCAATAAGTAAATCTGGGTTGATATTAACAACACATGCTTATTTCCGTTTTGTCACCACTTGTGTTTCAGGGATAAGGTTGGCCATGTTTAGTTGTCCTGTCATGTGACAGTGATTGTGATGCAACACAGGATTAAGGCATCTGGGTCGCTTTTACATGGTGTCAGAAATGTCGGGAAATATATATGATATATGTCGTAATAATATCGGCTATTGGATTTAGCTCAAATCTAATATGGGGTCGATTCATATAATTTATCAGGTCATAAGACAGAAAGTTCACGGTACCATTTTGGGGTTGTAACCTTCATTCTTATGTTGTCATTTGTAAGGCACGTTGGATAAAAACATCAACCCAGTCACTAGAGTAAATGAAATCCCATAATTCTCAAAAGATGTATGATACTGAATACTGAATACCAGTTTTCTGTAATGAATAAAGTCTGTTTAGTCTTAAAAAGGCTGCTGTTACAGAAAAAGAAAGCTAAAAACAAATTCAAAACACCTGTTTTTATTTTCCTACTTCAACATTATTTGCAGTTCTACACCACGATTGAAGGGAGGCTTCCCAAGACCAACACCAAAGTGCAACTGCCATACAGACCAGTAAAGGAAATCGGCAAAGAAGGTGGGTTGCAACAATCCACACAACCACACACTCACACACGCACATTCACACACACACACACACACACACACCATGTAAATGTCTCTTTCTGTCCATGCTTGTGTCACAGAGGGTGAAATCAGAGAGGATGAGCTTGACATCATATCACGAGATGCCCTGAAGCGTCAGTCTCAGCTCCTCATTGAAAACAACTTGAGCAAAAAGCCTTGGAAAAAATAAGTCCTGATCCAAAGTAACAAGAGCAACACAAAGTGTTGCACCACTGTGAAGTAGAAGGAAAATGACACGTGGTGAGGCTGTTTTTCCCAAATAAAAATGTGAGAAATGGCGTACTCAGAAGAATATTCTCAAGTCGGATAAGGCTGCATGCATAATTATTGTATGTAAAGGAAAACTAGCACTGTCACAACACACATTCCTCACACAGTGTGAAAAGCGTTGACGTGAGGGTCATAATCATCATGTTCAGCAGAGCCAGAGAAGCTGGTAATGTAGCTAATACATGGCAATCCTCCATACCCTCTAGCGGGTAAACAATAGTTACAGGGGCAGTATTTATGTAAACAAATTAAATGGAGCGTTGCTTTGATTCATTCATGAGAAATCCTTGACTCTCCCATGGCAACCATTTTGCTTGCAGAAACGCATGGTTTCACAAAGCCCCGCCTTTTCCTCGAAGCTCCTCCCCGAAAACGCGGTTTCCATCCGAGTTTTCGCCTCAAAAACCGCCGCTCTCCCACAGCTACCCCAGTCAGCAATGTGAAAACACCTGGTGGGACTGCGATTCTGCTGAGCTTATCATAGGAACTACTTTGAAGGGAAGCGTTGGGAAAAATGTTGAAGACTTAATGGAGAAGGCGCTGAAGGCGGCATGACGGAAAGAGCAAGAGCTGGTTAAAGAGACAGTGGCACAATTTCAAGGCGTTAAATTGCAACGTCAAATTTCTTTTAAGTCAGGTTTGATTTACAACCCAAAGTTGTGTAGTTATATGATTGTGCTATAAAATGCCACTATGTGCATGGAAAATATATAATACTGCCCCTTTAACAAACAACCAAAGGTGCAATAGAATCCTTTATATCCATTGTAAATCTGTTGCAAGACTTGACAAGCACTGTTCACAAACTCTCCACATCTAATCTGTCTGAGCCTGAGCTATTTCACAAAGAAAAAAAGACAGAAATTCAGTTGCAATGCCAGCATTGCAACTGAATTTCTGTCTTTTTGTCTTTTACATATCCCAAAAGATTTGTGGCTATATTTGCAGCAAAGGTGGCTCTACAAAGTATTGACTCTAATGCATGAATGCAAATGCATGCCACATTTTAAAAAATTTTATTATGGTAAAAGTAATTCCAGCTATTCACTAATTTGTGTAGGTGTATCACATTAAATCCCAGTAAATTGCATTGGAGTTTGTGGTTGTAGCGTAAAAACAAAGGAAACATTTCAGGAGTTAAAAAGTTTTTGTGACAATTCAACGTGTTAAACATGCCTCAGTTGCTATAAATACTAAAAAAGTCTAACAAAAATGATTAATGTCTCATTGTACATGTCGGCATCGTCACAGAAAATCAGGTGATCCTCATTAAATGATCCGTGTGTGTGTGTGTTGTCGTGTCAGTTTTGTTTTGACAACAGCCATGTGCTGCTGAGGGTGTTGCACCAACACAGATAACTTCCACCTATCACCAGGCAACATTTCTGCCTCCTGGGAGTCAACGACAGAAGGTTGCTCCGACTTATGAATCCTTTCACGGTGAATAGAGTCAAGTTTCGAGGACGTTTTTGTCCTTTTTTGTGCTTCTAGTGACTGAAACCAGTTCACTGTAAATACTCTAGGTTTCAAATTGCAGATATGACGCCGCAGAGCCACGAAAGCCTACACCTATGACATATTCAGACTCTATTGTTCATTAGGATGAATCAGAACCCGCTGGCATATGGTGCATGGTTATGTGCAACACGTCAGGCTGAGTTCTGCAGCTTTATTCAGAGAATTCACGTGTTGTTGGAGCCGGCTCTTGAACGTCAGGCGCTCACCTTTGTTCTCTGACCTTGCAAATGGCTGACCTACGCCAGAGGGGATTTCTGTTTTTAGTTGCAAAGCAAACATCTTACACGTAGACCCAGCAGCTGCGGCCAAATAAAGCTTCGATCCAAGTAGTTCAACAGGTGCCTGGTTCTCTTTGTGAGTGTGTGTGTGTGTGTGTGTGAGAGTGTGTGTGTGTGTGTGTGTGTGTGTGTGGGTGGGTGTGTGTGTCTGTGACGTAAGGAAGGTGACAATAAAGCAGCTGTGGCGTAATGTTCGCTCCAGTTCTGTTGTTATTTTTCTTTTCTAAAATTAGTTTCTCCAGAGTTTGTGTTTCGTTCGTCTTTTGTGCACTCTTTGTTTGATCCTGCATTCGTCGATAGTCAGGCTGGCAAAAGGTAATCCAAGCTACTGCTAGACCTTGTGAAGAGATGTTAGATGTATTCATTTCATAAAGAATTCTATTTATTTATTTATTAAATGTACAATTAAATAACAAGTCATTGTTTGCATTTATCGTGCGTTCATCTCAGAAATAATTATGTAGGTATTAATGTATTTATTTTCCAGCTTCTGTCACCTGTGGCAGTGTTGTCCCTGTCTGCAGACGGACAGATAGACATGAATGATGTGCTGCAACACAATTACATAAAGACGCTTACTGATTTATGCTTTCAACACATAATTAACACAAATTTTGATCAAATATTTGCACATTCAGTTATTCCATGTTTTAACTCTTAAATAATTATTCATGAATGTTTATGTAATGTTTACATTTCCAATCTATTTTCCCTATTAAAATCACATTTATGAATATTTATTTAATCATCAATTGATGTTTTGAAATTTAAGTTTTTTCACCTAAAAGAAAAGAACTGCCCAGAACAGTGAGATATGTATTCATATCATAATAAGTACAGCTCCTACTTAAATGTTTGCCAAGTTCATTTTTAAATTGTGTTTTGTAATTTAATTGTACATTTAAATGTATTATTGTTCCAATATTATTTAAATGATCATATGTAAATATTTATTTAATAAATTATGAATTTATTTGTTTAATTGTGTCACTTTTTACACTAATGAGAAAAAAAACAAAGATTGAACCTTAAAAAAACTAAATTAAATATTCAAAGTATAAACGGCACAAGTGCATATAAATAAACGAGGATATCAGTAAAGGATAAATTATCACAGTAATTTTGATTAAAAAATTAATCTTCCCCAAACGTTGCTTTCTCTGCTACAGGTTTTCCTTCTTGCTTGGACAAAGACTTTGCGCCTCGTCAGTATTTCCAATATGGCGTAGACCTTATATATTGTTGTTGTTTTTTTAAATGATTGGTCCTACGTAATATTATTAATTTCTGAGAAAGTAGACTTTGACTTTTCATTATTTGCAGACCTTAGCGAATAAAGTTGTTTTTTTTTTTTAGGTTTCACGTTTTAAACTAAATTCCTAAAATAAACGTTTTGATGATATTCTCATGTATTGAGATACACCTGTTATCCAAAACAATCACATCTTTGACAGGGCGTCCATCCATCCACGGTGAAGGTTACGTGTGACCTCGTGCTGTTTCTCATCAGCCAATCAGTGGGAGGAAGAGTTCCCGACCTTCCAGTCGCACTGTTTGAAACGTGGTGTGTGTGTGTGTGTGTGTGGCCCGCAAACAGGTTTCTAGACATGTCTGTTCGGGTTTCAGCCTAAAAGCTCTGACTGAGTGAGTTGTCATCGAGAGGCACCTGTTCGTCACTGCGCCAGGTGAAACATTATTTAAAACCACGATGTCGCTGTTTTCGACTCTATTCAGAGTAAAACAAAAGTGTTTCTAAGTTTTTTTTTTCTTTTTGCGCATTCCCTCATTGAAAGAATCGTCGTACTTTCAGTCTCGTGCCTTTTTTTTTTTTTTTTTTTTTTTTTTTTCGCATGACTGAAGTGAAAATCGGGGCAGCGAGTTTGTGCATTGTTTCCATGAGCAGAGCATTGAGCCGGAATGACTTGATTTTATAAAACAGCAATTTTACACATAACACAGTAGGCTGCAGCTAAACAAAGAGGAGGCCTTTAGCACAGACTCATGCGCAGGGCATCATCCACCCACTGACTCAGAGAACAATCAGCCCTCAGAGATAAATGCCAGGTTCTCCTCCTCCACGCGTTCATTTCTGCGTGAATGCTGTGGTTGGAGACACGCAGCCCCGAACGTGGACAGACAAGCAAAAGGAACCGGGATAGAGTTAAGTAAATGCATGTTTCCTGTGTTTTTCTATAGCTGCCATCTTTTGTGCTCAGATTTATTTATTTATTTATTTTATTTTTGTAATTATGAACCTTATGAAAGACCTCAATGTTATTTATGCATTATATCTGCAATAGCTGGTACTGAAAATGATTTTTGATGACTGCCGTAGTACTCAAGAGCTTGGATTAAGTGGCCATTACTTACACTGTTTTTGTAATTAGTGCACAAAAACGGAATATAACCTAATGTATAAATTAGAATATAGTTAAAAAGGTAGTTTATTTGTTTTACCATGTGAAAAAGGGAATTTTATACAGACTCTTTATTGACATGTTTCAGGCATTTATTTATTTTTATTTAGATTCAAATTTACTCTGATACGCCGCAGAATCCACAAAATCTTACCAAGTATGTTTGGTCTAGTTTCTAGTGCAGATATCTTGACACACTTGATATAAGACAAAACTAACTTACAAGTAACCTTTTATCAAAATGTAGGAGCTTATTTTAAGTAAATAAATCCTTAATATTGATGAAGAAGTACTAGTTCCATTGGGAGATTATTTCACTTGCATAACCAGGCAAAACTGCCTTGTTATAAGTGATATAATATAAAATGGCTCTCTGGTTGGTGAGCAGTGATGGGTTCCTATGATTTTAGGCTGACATTTCAGACGTTGGCTCATTCACTTATATGTTTTCCACCTAAGAGCAGATCATAGTTAAATATGTGGCTGTTTTTAAATACCTGCAGACTCTAATCACTCTGACTGGCTGAAATAAGATGAGTACACCCGTTTTCACGCTTTCCTCCCAAACACAGATGAGGCAGCAGGTGTGGGAGATCTCTCATGAGAGGTGTGTGGGCCTGTGAGCGTGACCGACTCAAACCGGGAAATGAGGACCACTCTTCCTTTGTGCAGAGGCGATGATGAAGCCTGTGGTCATCAGCGAAGCCTCAGCAGGGTGGGCTGGATGAAGAGGCTGCTGTGGCTCAGGTCCAATCGCTGCGGGGGCATCCACATGGACACGGAGCCCGGAGTGTGGCTCAGGAGCTTCCAGCTGCTGGACACGGAGGGACAACATGAGGTAAGGCTGGATAAAGATGGTCTCCTTTGAAAACGGAGCATTATGGCTGGCTTCTTGACTTGGATGCTTTTGGATGGGGAATAGTTCAATAAAGGCAAAGTATCAACACATCTTCTCCCCTTACCTGCAGTTGAGACCTTGATTTTTAGGTGGACAAGAGTTCGTCTTTACGATCCGCATCAAATCTCGATTATACATTCACATCTCCCCAAACGAACCAGACCGTTTCTAGACAAATGGACTGGAGTTCAATTAAAACGGACTGAGCAAGGCTGATGTGAATGCACCTTATGTCATTATTTAAGAACCTGGTTATTAAAACTTGGCTGGTTCTTGCCTTTCTGGACTTCATAGAAACACCAGTTTGTGCCGCTGGCAAGGGACAAAGTGACGTACCAATAACTGGACTTCTTATCCAGAAGGATCAGTGACCCAGATCTTTACCGCTGTGGACAGACTGAAGGGGACATGAGTTTGGTTGTGTGTTTTGTGGACTTGGAGAAAGCTCAAGGTTATTTTGGAGGAAGTATAGCTGGAGTACTGGACAGCAGGGGAGCTTTAAATGGTAATTAGGTCCATTTATGCCAAATCCAAGAGCGGTGTCCACAAAAAGCCAACTTGTTCCCAGTGCAGGTTGGCTTCTGCTGCACTTGGAGCTCTTCATGGAGAGGATCTGGTGGAAAGGAGAAAGGATTGTTTGGGAACCTCAGGATTTCATCACTGATTTTTAGCAGATAATGTGATTCTTAAAGGTTGGCAACTTTAAGGATTGAGCTTTAGCGTGCACCGCTGAAGGGTGAACCAGCTGGAAATTGGAGACGGATCCTTGAGGCCATGGTTGTTGTTCCTCAACATCTAAAGGCTCCAGTTTGGGAATATAAGAAGGATGCCTCTCATTAGAGGTTTTCCAGGCACGATACTCTGGACTAGTTGGGTCTGGAAAATGTGACTTTCTTGCAATAGTATCTCTTTTAACTTTTCCTCATATTGTGTAGCGTTATTGGAGGCATAGTCATATTTCCTTTCAGTAGAGTCTGACTAGACTAGAAGGAAAAATTACTGTAAATGAAATGTCTGAACTGATGTGTAGTTGGTACAAATAAAGTTTTGTACCAAAAAGACTGCCAGTTTTTATATTTTGTACCAAATGTAAAAATTAGAGAAGGTGAAAGAAAAGTGTAATAAATGTTCTTTACAAGTTTAACATAAAATAGAATAAAAAAGTTTTTGATTTTATCCTGGATTATTACAAGGAACAGACGATTTGTAATGCAAATTCTTTCTTCTTTTTGTCACGGGACTTCCATTGTTGCATCATTTCATATAGTTTCAGGAAACGAATAAGGAAACACAATGTAGAAGATTTTCCAGGAAAGGTAGATTGCTGTTTTGTTTTAGCTGAAGGAAATACTGATTTAATATATATATATATATATATATATATATATATTATTAAACCAGTTTGGCTTCGAGATGAATGTTATAATGAAGAAAAAAAATTAAATACAAAAAAATAACCAGCACATTTATGACACGACCAGGATTTAAACATGGACTACTGCAGTCGATCCTATGAGGTCAAATTATTGACGACTCTGACACTAACAGGGACAAAGGAACATTGTTATTTTTTGGTACTGCACTTTCTTAGCATGTACCTGAGAGCAGACGGTAAAAATGATGAGGGGAGAGTTTGGCTCTGTGGGGATAGCTTGTGTTGTTCTACTGACGAGGCTTCTTTCTGAAATCGGTCAACATTTCTTTGGTTTTTGAAAAATTATTCTTCAGAAACGAACAGCCCTGGTCATCAAGCAGAGACGGAAAGAGTTTGATGTTTTTCCCCCAGTCGTGCTCCGGCTTCTTGGCCCCCCACCACATCAACCCTTCATGTGTCTAATTTGAACTAATTGATGTCTCTCTTGCCACTCTTTTGTTTGGCCTTTGTGAATCGCTGAGGCTAGAGAAACGTGAGAGACAGAAACTCATTAGACAAACAAAACGCTCGTTATTCATCTTTTGACTTAATGAGCAGCAGAACCCTGACCCCGATTAAAGTTCTGCTGATGCTGTACAGAGATTTGCTTTTATCACGAGTCCGTCCACAAATCTGTGACGTGTTTACAATGTAATAAAACGCACTAAATCTTCAAGTTTTCCCATGATGCTGTCCGTGGTGTGTCATACGAGTATTTTTAGAATCAGAACTGACCTGTTTGACGTGGTACTTTGTCTTGGCCTCTTAAGGTGACAGGCAGGAATGTCAACAAGACTCTGCTTGGCATCTTTCTATTTTTATTAGCTTTCTTTCTCACCTGACTGCTGGCCCACAGTCAACTTCTTTGATGCATTTGATTAATTATCATTTATCTTTTATTTCTTCCTATGAATCATCTCTCTCCTGATTGTTAGACATAAATAATACTTTAAGTACCTGGAACAAAAGTTGTAGGTCCAGTTTTGAGTCAAATATTTTTTTAAGGTGATATTGTTTTTACTTTTGCTTTTTGACTCAGTCATCAAATGTCAGTATTATTTAGCTTTCTACTTGCATGTTGATGTTTTTTTTTTTTTTACTTTTAAGTTTTCAAAAATTAACAAGTGAAACTAAGATCTCTATGGGAAATGATTTTTTTTAAAACAACCATGTTGATGGTAAAATAAAAGTAAAAGACTAATAAAATGCATGTATGAATGAATAACTTTCTAACATAAAACATGTCAACTGCAGTCTAAACTCTCTACCAGCGGTTGGTGAAGTTAAAATTAACACTTTATACAATATAAAAGGGACAGCTGGACAAATTCACAAAACGCAAGACTAAACGAAATCTGTCACTTCTGGGATACGGTTTGAAGTTGCTTACTATGGAATAAATAACAAGCCTTAATGTTTTAAATAACTTTAAAGTTTAAAATCTGTCTTATATTTTGTTTCTTTAGGTTTTGCTCCTGGGTTTAAATGACTATTTATTATCTTAGCATGAAAACAATGAAAGTTCTTTTAATTCTTGGAAAGTTGAAAGTTTAATGACTGATCCAAAGACAATTCAACGAACAGAATCAATACGTAATCAATAAGAATACAGCAAACCAATGAGAGTGTTTGTCACCGCTGTTGTAAAATCTACGCGCATGATTTACAGTCCACCAGATGCATCATAGAAACCCAGCTGAATGATTTTAGCTTGTAAACAAAGTTAATCGCCACACTTCCCATTTTCAGTGACAGGATAAGTATCTATATATCTCAGCAGGAGGATGACGCTGTGCTTATGTCCAGCAGACATCCCGCAAGCTAGAGTTAGAGTAAGCATTTTTTGCTATTGGTTTCTTTTTTAGTAAATGGAATAAAATGTAGAAGTAGAGAATGTGTAAAAATATTTTTCATAAAGGAAGTCGTACTTTGTTTTGCTTCTAGTTTTCACTGTAAGACTTGGGGAAGTGGGGAATTCACATCACAACATAGTTGCTGAATTTTATGCAATCAAATGTTTAATATAGTAATTGCTGTGTATGCACAGAGTGTATGACAATTCTTATTTTGTCCTAATTTTCAGTAAGTTTTAGTTCACACCTAGAACGTGTCCTCATCACCGCATGCCAGACTCACCTAAACCGACTGACTTTATTGCAGAAAAGTCTTGACTCTATTCTGAGCTCCCTTCTGCCCTGCTTTTAGTTTTTATTTAAAAAAATGTTTGTCCCATTTAAAAAACATCAGGTTCTAATTTAGTTTAGTGAATTCTAATATAAATTACATAGTTTGTAAGTTGAAAATGGAAGACAATAAATGCGTGAAACAAAAAAGTTGTTGAGTTAATTTTGTTTCTTTTCTGTTTTTAATGAAGATTTTCACATATTCAAGTTGAAACCTGTGATTTTATATGTGATAAAATCTCTCTACTTGGCCTTCAAGCTCAATGGTTTTACTGAGGACTGCGCTGTTCTGGACCAAGCTCTCTCATCACATCCCCTTTCCCGATGTTGGGGTCACAAGTCTGAGTGTCCCCAGGACCATGACTGGCAGAACCAAAGCTGCTTTTTCTCTTATTTTTCTTCAAATTTGTGGTTCTTCTTGCAGTTCTCCTCTTTTTTTCCAGAGCTTTTTATTCAGTAGCTACTGTTCAGTAGCTACTGAACAGTATGTTATACAACAGTAAAATAGGTTTTCCCTTTATTTTAAAAGTTGAATGAATTGATAGGTTTTGCTTTATTCCTTATTTAAAACTGACGTTTCAACAATTGAGGGGATTTACACCGTTATTCCTGGTACTTCAACTACTATTACCAGTTTGCTATCAGTATAATAATAGTCCTCCAAACAATGCCAGTATCTTCAGTGTCAACATCAGCACACCTGCTGCCATCTGCTCCTAACCGCTCATTGGTCAGCCTGCACTGGCCCCGCCCACACCTGCTTCCTGGCTCCGCCCACCTCATACAAAACGTTGTGTCAGACTTCTTCCTTCTCAGTATCCCACTGCTTTACGAAGAGTTGAACCCGTTGATTTAGTTTTTGTTAGTTTTGATAAGATGGATGTTTTAAGTTTACTTCAAAGTCGAGTAAAGCGGCTCTATCCCTAACTACCCGCAGTTTACGTCGAGATTCAGGAGTAAAACTAAGAAGGATTTATTCACCGCATCTCGTGTCAAAACATGGGGAAATGGCAGTTATCGATGGTATGTAAATTTAACTTTAGCTGTTTGACCCAAACCAGGAATCTTAATTGTGTTTTTTTATGTTGTTTTTCGTGGTGCGCATGTCTCTTCGTGTGAACCTGAGTGTTTCTGTTGACGTGCTGACAAACGCTTGCATTAACTTAACAGGGTTATAAATCACTGCACCGCCGTGCTTAGCGCTCTGGTTGCAACTTGTTGCATACTTTGCTTCTCTGTTACATGTGTGCCAAAATAAGACCTCATGTACAGCGACATGCTGCCAACCAGTGCTCATAGGAAGCCATTAAAGCTTTTTGTTTTCAGTTGAATTATTTCATTTTATGGTCATCCTTATGTTTTATTTAGTCAATATTTGTTAGAAAATATTACCTGATTATGTACATTATTGATAATTGGGGAACATGTAGATACCAGCTTGTCTCATTGGAGATTGTGTGTAGATGTGTTTTAAAATCACCAATCTAAAATAGCAAAAAGACAAGAAAAAGGACTCAATTTGCCGCGTTGTAACAGTTTTAGCCTCAACTTTGAAAAAGATAACGTGGAGCCTCACATTGCAGCCACAGAATCACTTCAGTACATTTTCTGTGAATTTTTATGCAATTAATCAACATAAAGTAGATATTTTCTACAGTCACTTAAAGCTTATTGTCTTTTTTTAGGGGTTCCACCTCAATGCATCCCCACAGCATAATCCTGCCACCACCATGTTGAGAGGATAATGCAATGTGCAGTGAATGACGGCTTTGCGTTTTGTTCCAAAGTTTTAATTTTGGTCCTGTCTAACCTTCTTTATACATTTAGTGTAATGGATGTAATGAAGTACAGTTTGTGCAAGTTTTGTGCAAGGCTCCTGACAATATGCATTTGGAGATTTATTGTCAAAAAGCCTGTGGAGAATTCTGAAATACTTAATTTCAATGCATTCGATAAAATATTGTGATAAAATGTCCAGTCCATGTGGTTGGTGTAAGGTGAGACAGAGCCTGATGCAGTGCCCCGTTTAATTGAACCGATTCAGAGGAAATGAGCAGATCCTAACATGGGGAATCTAACGGTCTCTGTGTTTTTAAAAACACAAGCGGTGTCAATGAGCTGCTGAGGCACCGGTTACTTTGCAGTTTCTGTCCTCTCGTATCACTTGAAAGCTGTGTCAAGGAATGTTAAGGATGAAAACCATCCATGTACAATTTCACCCGTATCCAGTACTGAGTACAACTCTAAAGCAGCTCCACGTTTATGGAAAGTTTTTTTATTTTGTGCAAATTTCCCCTAAGTGTTTGTGTTGACTCAATTTTTTGTTTATTTATTTATTTTATTTTTTTTGCTTTGCTGCAGGAACCGGTGCAGGAGTGGGGCGAGGAGGAGGAGGACGGGGCCATTTTTGGGATCACCCTTCGAAGGGAGCCCGCCCCGCCGGGCTTGGACTCCCCTGACCTCTCGCCGGCCTTCGGCTGCATCCAGTACCACACGGTTAAGGTTCGCAGGCTGAAGGCCGCCACCTTGGAGCGCCTGGTGTCCCACCTGCTGGACGCGGAGCACCGGGAGCCCGACTTCATCCGGGTGTTCCTCTCCATGTACCGGGCCTTCACCTCCACCAGCGCCTTCATCGAGCTGCTGTTTCAGAGGTGAGCCTGTGGGCTTTCGCTGAACTGAGGCGGGCGCTAACAGAAGTCATGAGGGCCCAGTCAGCCGCTCTCCCAGCCGCCATATGAGCTCATTGTTGCTGCTTGATTTAGACTGATCTGTTTAACAGAAAACATTCGGCGTGCAGGAGGGAAGGAAAAAACAATAGCTTGACATTTTCTGCAAACCTACATTGTTTGTGAATAACAATTTATTAGTAAGCTGTCTGGAAAAGCATGACATTTGATCAAAGTATTTTTCTAGCATACTGATGAAGAAAAGAAAAATAAAACAATCAGCTTAAGGCTTTATTCCCCAACTCGATTGTTCAAAGGTCGTTCAGCCTTCCACCTTCGCTTTCTTCTGTCCCTTTATTGTTACGTTCTTCCCTGCTTTTATCATTTTTTCTTCCTTTTTTTCTTATTTTCTTGAATAATATCTCTTAGAAGAGGGTGATATAGAGTTAGAACTTTATCTCACCAAGGTTTAAACGCCCTACTAGTTGCATTCAATATTTTCAAATTCGCCAATATTTGTGGAACAAATTATAGAGACAAGACTAAGAGTGCTGTAAAATACTGTCAGTTTTGTTTTAATGTCATTAATTGAAATTTATTGACAACAATAAACGATGCAGTGTTGCACACTCCGATGCCTCCCATGTCTTGTACCACCCTTCCTCGCTTGTGCCCTTCTTTTCTTGCATCCTCCTTTCCTTCCTGGTGTCCAGTCTTTCCTTCTTTAATTGGGCTCTTCCTTAATAATTCCTTGTGTTTTTCTTTCCTTTGTGTCCTTTAATACTTTTTATTTACGGCTTCTTAATATATAAATCGATCTCGGTGGATTTTAATATTTCATATTTTAACCAGGAATAAAATGAGTAAGATCTCTTGGTGTTTCCATCTGGTGAATTATGTTTTATTTTTAAAAAAAAAAAGTCGTGCCATAACAGGACCTCCTCTCGCCTGGAGCCGTGACGCAGAGATGTTCGTTGTATTTGCTTTCAAACTTTTCTGACACTGATTTATTTTTCCCAGCTTGTCCTAATTTTTAGGAAGGTTGTCACTGCCGTCAAACGTTAGCGCGCCGTCTGCGTCAGAAGGCTTTACGACCTGCCAGACGCACATATCAGTTTTCAACACGGACAGCAGCTTTAACAGCTTCCTCGCGTCCCGTCAGCTGCTCTAGGAACAAATCTCTGCTGGTTTCTATGGCAGCTTTTATCGTCACGAGGTAAACAAAGCTTCCTGAGCTTTGTTGCATTGTGAGCGCTTCACGACTACACCCTCCACGCCCAGCGGCATACCTGGTTTGATTTTTATTTATTTCTTTCTCTTTCTCTGCTGGAATGTCTTAGAAAGAGCATCGTACGTTTCAGCACATTTTGTCCTGAAGCGACTCCTAAAAGGCCTTCATTACGCTGCCTCACGGCTTTAAACAGCTGCTTGCTTTAATTGGCGCGCTGATGGATTTGTTATTCATCAGACAGCCGCCCTCATCGGAGCTGTGCTGGTGGCGGCAGACTTCCTGTAAGCTTCAGTAAACGAGGAGGTCGGGGCAAACTGGAAAAGGTGTCATCCCAACAGGATTCAATGCAGGATGTTCCATTTCTGTCATTAGATTATACAACTCTGCTGCTTACTCGTGCTTGGTGTCAATTTTATTATAATTGTGAACTCTTAAAGATGGATTTACACTGTGTTTTTGGAGTTGCTAAAAAAACTTTGTTCAAATTTCAACAGTCTAGCTGCTGATAGAAGTTAAGTTTAAGAATTTAGTCGTGGAACCAGGTTTTTATCATTTTTTTTCAAAGCACAGGCGGTGAAATGGGCCCTCATCATGATGCAGCTACTGCCATGCTTGACAATGGGTCCAGTGGTCTTGGGTTTTAAATTCTCATTCATTTGTGCTTAATGACACACCTGACCATTTTAGGACAGCTTCCTACATCTTATGGATTATGATAGATTATGCTCGGTTGGATTTCATTTCAGACATTTGGTTGGTGTTTCAATGAGAGGATGATCCTAAACAAACATCCATTGTGGTTTTGGTGCAAAAAGGTTGTCGCTTGGATCTAACTGGGTTATAAATGGGTCAGATCCTTATACTGGGTAATTGCCTTATGGACAGTTTTCTTTCAGCTTATCTAACCAAGTATGTGTTAAGAAGGCTCAAAAAGTTGGCATCAAACAGAAAAAAATCCTTTAATGAGTTGCAGGATCTGCTAAAATTTGGTTAAAAGCTGACCAAGGCTTTATTAAAAACTGGAAGTGAAATGGAGAATCCTAAAAAAATCGTGACTGGTGGTCATTAAAATGTTTGGTGAAAGCAAACAAAGGAGAAATAACAGAACTCGGGGCTGTACAAGCCTGTGCTGTGATCTAGGGTTGCTGTTGCAGGTCGGGTCCATGATGAGGTCAGCCGACTACCTGAGTAAATGACCAGGTTATATTCCAAGGTGACGTCTGTAATTGTGATAGAGTGGTTCAAGGAACAGGAGGCGTCTCTTTCTCGCATGGTTCGTCCACCAGAGTCCGAACCTGAAACGTCCCTGACCTCAAACCTTTTGAAGAAAGTTTGTAATAAACATCTGCTCAAAGCTTGTGAACTATTACGTTTTATTGAGCTCCACTAGATCTTTTAAGAAGAAAAGTAAAGCAACCCCCTCCAAAATGTGGCCAAGAACTTGTAGAAGCAACTTGCTAAGGCGTTCTTATCCAAATATTAGTTGTGTAATTTGAGTCTGTATGAAAGATGATGGTTGAAAAACATCAATAAGATGGCAAAGTTCATCATGTGAGTGTTTGTGATTGTCTGATTGCCACCAAATACTATGCTGTAGTTTCCCATAAGCTATAATTTATCAGCGACATGAGCGTTGCTCCACGTCTGTCACTTTTTAAATCGTTTTCAATCACATATCGATGCCATAAACATCAGGCTCTTGTTGTAAAACTGCAGCTCGGTTTCTGCGAAGCAGACAACGTGGAGCGAAACGTTAGTTTTACCGCACCAATGTTTTACGGCAGGGTTATAAATCCCAGAGGAAGACGGGTCTCTGTTTGCTCTCTGTGCCAAGGCCAGCGTCTCTGTGGGGACGGTGGAGTGTTGCAGGACATTTCCACAGGATGGACAGTCTGGCCGTTCAGCTGGAGCAGTCTCCGTTGTTTACAGGATGATTTCTGTCACCACTTAGCTGCAATGTGTTTTTTTTTTCTTTTCTTTTATCTGATGATGTGTTGATTTATAGTCCAGCTGATAAGTGGTACCGTTTCCCTTTCCCTTTAGAGACGAAGCGCTTACCAACTTGGACAACGCAGTCACTCTGCACAGGTGAGTTCAGTCCCAGCTATCATGGCCTCAACATCAGAGCTTCACCTGCACAAAACAAGCAGCCGTGACTTAATTTCTAAGCTTTACGTGTTTTCTTCCTCCCTCTGCTGCTCTTCAGTCCCGCTCTCCCGGTGGTCCGGCTGTGGTTGGAGGAACACAGCGCCGACTTCCAGGAGCCGCCTCAGTACCAGGCCCTGAGGCTGCTGTGTTTCCACCTACGCCATCGACTCTGCTTCAGACGTTTGCTTCAGACTGCTGAGGCTTTGCTCAAAAGATTCCAGGAACAAGGTAGTGGCATGCAACAAAAAAAAGAAACAATCAGTCTTTGCACTTCACGTTCAGCTCAACTTTGTGTCGATCTACCTCACAAAATCCTAATAAATACACAGAGGTTTGTGGTTGCAAAGCGACAAAATCCAGACAAGACTAAGGAGTAGGTTCTGCGAGGCCCTGCAGCGATCTGCTGATCATTCATTTCTCTCATTCACGTTGTGTTTTGACAGATTGCAGTCGCTCCGTGTCGGAACAGCTCAGTGCTTCCCTGCAGCGCTGCAGTCTCGGCGATGGAGGAGAAATGTCCTCTAAACCAGACAAACACAACTTCCTGGACTTCCCAGTTAGAGAAGTAGCGGAGCAGCTCACCAGATTGGACGCCGTATGTAACATGCGCACAAATCCGCAGTCTTTGGTGGAGTTTAGCTGATGGATTCATCTCTTACGACTTCTCCTTAATGTCCCCGCCAATCCTGCAGGAGCTGTTTGTCAAAGTGGAGCCGTTCCACTGCCTGGGCTGCATCTGGTCGCAGCGCGACAAGAAGGAAAACCGCAATCTGGCGCCGACGGTCCGAGCCACCATTTCCCAGTTCAACGCAGTGACCAACCGTGTCATCACTTCCCTCCTCTGCCCATCCTCACCCAGCCCATACACTTCCTCCCCCGTCTTGTCCCCGTCCTCGACCTCCACCTTTCTGCACCCGTCTTCGGCTCCCGGCTCGCCTAGCGGCTCGCACGCCAGTCCGGTTCAGAGGGCGCGCGTCATCGAGTGGTGGATCGCCATCGCACAGGTCAGGATCCAGACAAATCGCCGCAGAGTTCAACAACAAACCGTTTACGTTGACCCGCAGAGTGAGCAGCGTTGTTTCTCCGCAGGAATGCAGACAGCTGAAGAACTTCTCGTCTTTGAAAGCCATCCTGTCCGCCCTGCAGTCCAACGCCGTGCACCGCCTCAAGAGGACCTGGGCCGCCGTGAGCAGGTGTGCTGGTGTTTTCAGAAAGCTTCAGGATTATGACTCCGAGAATCTGGACTGACCTATGAATTGAACATTTCTTTTAGGGAAAGCACGACCGTCTTTGATCACCTGTGTGAGACGTTTCCCGACGAGAACTGCGTCTTCACAAACGGAGAGATTCTAGTCGAGGTAAACATGTTTTTCGTCCTCCTACATGTAAGAAACTTGGATTGAAACAAAAAGGAAACAAAAAGGAAGAATGAATCTGGTATAGATCCCTTTTCCCCTGATGTGTCATTTATCAGAAAACCCTTATCTGACAATTATGACAACCACTGAAAAGTCGCACTCTAGTAACCTGGCATAAACTTCTCTGACGAAGTAAAACTGCTTGTGTTTGCAAGTAACTGGAGCAGAAAGTCCTGATTCTGGCCATGTAAAGAGAAACGATTCCTGCCGAGGATTTAGTTTGCTACAGAGCACCACAGCTGAATTTGTAAGGCGTTTGAGTTCGTTGCCCATTTTTTTTCACTTGAACAAGAGGAAATACAACCAATCAGCTTCACTGATCACAATTTCATGCTGATTTCTGACATCTGGGTTTTGGGTTTTGCAAAGATTTTGGTTGACTCTGATTTATTTTTTTTTTTAAGTGTCAAAATGAAAGAAAAGACAAAAATAACACTGAAAAGCTTTTATTCTAGCGACCCCGCTGTGAAAAGTCAATGATTTATATCTTGAGTTGGTTGAGTGGTTGCCGTAATACAGCATTTTAAGCAGCCTTTTGCATCTTATATTGGCAATTTTCAATTTTAGCACAGCTGGCATCAAAAGCGAGAAGTCTCTATGCTCATCCTGTTGGGAATGTAGATCTTTTCCTTAACTGTGAGGTTTCCAAAAGACTGAAGTATTTAAAAATCCAGGTTGATGCCTGATAAAATGGAGCAACTTTGCTGCAATACTTCCAGCTTTCCTGTTACAAGTTGAAAATGTTACCATCTCGGCCTCGTGCAGCCTGAATGAACCGCGGCCATGTGTTGTAGAAAACAGTTTCCTTTTTAATAGCTTCTTAAATCTGTGCTCACTCTGATTTCATTTTCATCGTCTCACTGATGCTGAAGATGTCCGACTTTTGCATTTCTTTCCCTCAGTAACAACATCTACTCTGAAGAGTGTTATCAGTTCAGTCTGGCGCTGGTCTCTTATCGGCCACCAGTAGATTTCTTGGTGGATCTCTAGTAAAATCTTAAAGAGATATATATATATATATATATATATATATGTAAATCTGCAGAATATTAAAGTAACTACCTCACCTTCTCATCTTCATCCAAAAAATAGTTTTTTTTTTTGCATAGTTTGTTTTGCTGGTCAAGCATTTACTAGAGCAAAACTCTGCAGGATGTAGTCTGTACTTCAGTCTGTAACCTCAGTTTGCTCTACTTTCCTCTAAAGATTATCTGTGAAAGACTAAAAAAAAAAGCATCTGAGGGCAATTTTATTACTATGTTTGAATAAAAAAAGACTCATTTTTAGAAAGCGATGTTGTCTTTTACAACATCTCTGTTTTCAGGGAAGCAGCATACATTTGTTTTGGTTTTAAACACCTCTTTATCATAAAGGTGATTTTTTTTTTTTGTTTTTTTTATGTCTTTTCAATTTAAAAAATAACCACCGTCTTAAGATTTATTTTATGCTGGGACGCTTTGAAATAATATAGCTCTTATGACTGAGTGCTTATGTTCAATATATTTCCAAGTTATTTTTAATTTTGATTAAAAATGGTCTCAATGAAAATCCCAGAGGTTTTTACACCTCGGCGTATTCATCTATAGAAACCCCGTGGGCCAACTGTGACTGGAAATATCCAGTTCAAAGCAAAGAAACTTCCAGTAGAACCAGTCCAGTCTGGAAGCAGCACAACAGGAAGGAATTGGGTGAAACTGCTCTGACTTGAGGAGTTTCATTTACCGTCTCGGTGCTGATGCTGAATCTGGGATTTCAACAAGTAAATGTCTAGCTCCTGCATGTTTTATTTAACGCCAAACAAAGCCTGCATTTCTCTGAACCTGCAGCTTTCCTCAAAACATAACATCTATTTGTTTGGTTGCCAGGTGGACTTTTTTTTTTTTTTTTTTTTTTTTTGCCCAAGGGGTTTCACCCTTTGGAAAACTTTTCCCCTTTTTTTTTTTTTTTGTGGGCA